CTTGGTAAAGGAAGTTATTATTTAATTGAAAATTAATTTTATATTAAAATTTCGTATATGTTAATGTTTTCAAAATAATAATCCTAAATATTATATAATTTATAATTCTTCTATATAACATTAATATAATAATATATAAAGTAATTTTTATGAATTATAAAATGATTTTGCAGATGGTATCTGTTAGAGAAAATTAATATTAGATAAGATGTCATTCGACATGTAATTTGAATGAAAATTAATTGTAAACGTATAACAGATGTAAGTATTGTATTTGGCAGACAATTTAACTGCCTATAATAAATACATATATTTATTCCTAAAATATACGTTACTATTATTTACTAATATTTTACTTGTAAGTATTGAATTTCATAGTATTGATTCGTATATAGATAAGTTCTTTAAATAAACTCAGAGTATTTAAATTTTAAAACTATTCTGCATATAATATGTAGGATCGTAATACACCATGAAATTTTAGAAATCGACAATTGTTGTAATATTTTGAATGGAGTAAAATGTTATCGAGTTTAGTGATAAAATATTCTTGAACTATTTATAAAATTGATTATATTTATGAAATCTCTTCTGAGTTTTTAAATTTAAGATATAATTTTTACAAGTACATATAACGGTATTATTTATGATCTAGTATCGGATAATAATAATTTAGTTAATGTTTAATTAGTACATATAATGATATATATATATATATATATATATATATATATATATATATATATATATACGTATTCTAAATCCTTGAGTAATAAAATGTAAAAATAAACATCGGAATCACTATCATTAAATGTAATTAAAAAATCGAAAAATGCTGTATTTCGACGTAATTCAAGCAAAATGTGTTTGCCTTTTTAAAATTTGTCTCTATCAAGTCAATGTCACTATAGTTATGATGTGTACATAATTAGAAATTTATATTTGATAATTCTTTACATTATATCAATTATTTATTCAAATATAATCAATAGTATCACATAACTTTTCATATCACCTTTATAAATATTAAAATACTTTTAGATGCTTGATTGTTTTAGCTAATATTATTATTAAATGTATTTATTTATGACACTAAATTTATTGGAAAATATTAATCTATTATTTATATGTACATTTCCATTACTAGTATATTATTTGTAAGTAAAATTATAGTTAAAATTTCATATTCTTTTATATTTAATTATAAATGATTTAATAAATATTATATCATTTTTAATTCTCATTTAATTATACATCATTATACTTTGATTTCGAATGGAATAAAGTACAATAAAATTTTTATGAAATAATGAATTAAATACAAATATTATGAAAAAAAAAAATATTAAAAATGCAATAACAATTAATCATTTTAGTTGATGATAAAATACTTTAAAGACCCTAATTATTTAGACATGATTTTAATATTTTCTTCATTTTTATTACAAAAAGTGGTTGAACAATTAGAATTTATATATTAATTTTTATAATCCCATACTTATTATAAAGCCCCCGACTTCTTATGATCCCATCAAATGAAATTTTTAATGAAAAATGAATAGAAAATATTATATTAATAGAAATATTAATTAACGGACATTTTTCTAATAATTGTTATAATTAGAAATATAGTTCGGTAATAATTAAATATTATTTTCATCAATCGTATTTTATATAGATATTCCATTGTATAGAACAAAGCTATTACTTTTTTCCTTATTTCGTATAGAGGATAAATTATATTGTGGATTAATTTTGTGTTATTATGAATATATTATTTAATATAAATAAGATTAGTATACAAAAATTCTATTAAATAGGGCTAATTATACATAAAATTATTAGTAAAATAAAAATATATTTATAAGTCCAGATTCAAAATTTGAATCTTATTAAGTTTTTTAGTTATAAATTAGATATCAAAAATTATAAAAAATTATAAAAATATAATATTTAACTAATATTAAAAGTACATAATATTATATAGTATAGAATGAAATATAAAATGCTTTCAATGTGTTCAAACGACTCAATAAATATTGAAAAATATAGAAACAAATAAATAAAAAATATTGCATTTGAAAATATTCAAACAATAAAGAAATTTTTTAGAATATTATACAAAAAGTATATAAATTAATAATTCAAACATAAAAAATGATTATTTGTATATCGTAGATTGAATATAATATATATATATCGAAAATGAAAAGAAGAATATTACATCATTAATTGATGATAAATATAACAAATTAGTTAAGTAATTAAACGTCGTTAAAGCAAAAAAATTTAATGTTAATGTAAGATTAGAATTGCAAGAAGAATAAAAGTAAACTATGAAAATAAATAAACAACTATATAAAATGAATAAATTAATTACAAAATTATTGCTTAAATTTTCATAATAAAAAAGTCATCTTCGTTTATGTGTAAAACTACTCAAATTGCCTTTGTAAATATATAAGTATTATATTAATATTATATAAATATATAAATTTTATATTAATATAATAAACAATATCTATTTTTTAAAACATCAAGTATTATTTAATAATAAACTGATTATTTTAATTAAATATATATTTCAGCAGATGCATTCATTTAGAATATTAAAGAGTATATTAAATATTTATAATAGATTAATGAATTAATCTTTATGAAAAATTGTCAACGAATAGACATATTAGAATTAAATACAATCTACATACTTATGGATAATATCAAAAGATTATGTTAAATTATCTTACTTTTTTATTATTTAAGAATTACTTTAGAAATGCGTTAAAGAATAACAAGTTTTTGAAAATAAATTTTCTGATAAAATTTAATAAAATGATAATAAAAATAAATGAAGACTAATTCCTTTTGAACATTGTTGATATAACACGATGTAAGATATTTTAAAAGGATTGAAGACTTATATTATAATTCAGATATTATCTATTGAAATAATAACATAGAATGTAAAAATATTTAAGTACTTAAATTTAAGTATTTTCTCAGTTGATTGGTATACAGAATCAAAGCATTAAATGGAAATATTAATTTAACTGACACTTCACGTGATTTTAAATTATGACATGTCTGAGGATTCGAAGGATTTTATAATTTTTTTTATCAAGGTTCACACATATTTTGCGTAAAGTAATTTATACATTGTATTAATCAAAGCTATGTAATTTAGAGTTAGTAAAGCTATGGACTAATGAATATGAGGTTAAATTAATATTAAATTCTGAACTGCAAATAGTATAATAAATAAATAGAAATTCTAAATTACATAGTTACAAACCTTCTAAATCTTTAATAAATATTGCATGTTATTATGACTTTTGAATTCGATATACTAACTTGAAAATTAAAATAATTTATTGATTAACATAATTAATCGATGGGCGAATTTAAATGAGCACAAAAACATTAAAAATTAAAATAATTAAAATATAACTAATTTTCCCCTATATTTGTTGTCTTATATATATACAAATTATTTTTGATATTCATAAACGTATGTCTTACGATAGTTAATTAAAATAAATACTTCGGTAGATTAAATTTTTACAAAAATTGTTTTTCTGTAAAGAATATTTTTAAAAAATAATAACATAAATTCTTTCACTCGAAATAATATTTTCAATTAAATAGATATTTTTAAAACAATTAATCGAGAAAAAACTATTCGGACTATATTAACTATAATTACTATGAAATTATGCTTTTTAATTGTACGAAATTTCTAATTCTAAATTTTCTTCAAAAATATAATTTATATATTGATATAATTTAAAAACACTATTAATTATATAACAATATTTGAATTTTTATTTATCCATTTGAATTAGTTAAATTATTATTACTTTAAATTACTATTTTATTTGATATTAAATAAATTACAATCAATAAGACTTATAAAAATTAACTTATATTATTATAATATATAATGCGAATAATAACAATTCGTATGTATTTTAATATTAACCATTTTAAATATTGGAATTAACATTTTTTATAATAATTTAAGCTATTAAGTAATTTCAAAAAACATTTTTTAAATATCTGATTATAACGTCCTAAAAGAATAGCATTTAATTAATAAAAAGATTTAACATAGATATATAGCGAATTAAGGAATACGAATTATTGATTTAGTATATTTAATACATAGATAAACTAATTAGAACATATTGCTTAAGTAAATAGTTACATTTTCCTATAAATGGATTTCACGCGATAACATTTTCAACCATTTACTTACAAGTACTCTCAAAATGAACATCCCAATCATAATTTTTGCATGTATAACGTTCAGTTTTGGTAAGTCAGTTTTATCTAAGTAAGTTCTAAGTAAATATATTGCATAATTATATTTTTTAATTTATATTCTTGTACATAATTATTTAAAACCATTATGTTTTTATAAATTGTACATAGTTATAAAAATATTTCACGCATATATAGTTGTAAATTAAGAAATTTATGAATTTTAAAAATATAATTACAATATATTTTAACAAAAAACTTAAAATATGATTAATTATTTTTTATTTAGAGATTTGTGCTAAAAGTATATTCAGATATTTAAATTGATCATATATTAATGAAATATCTTTTTATAAATCTGATATTTATATATTTTTTCTTAGTGCTTATCTTTGTGTACATATATATATATATATATATATATATATATATATATATATATATATATACATAAATAAGCATATACTTATATGTAAGCACAAATCGAATCTTCTTTCTTATTTATTATTTATCTTATTTATAACAGATACGCTATGTATCTTGTTTCATTTCATATATAAAATTTCAACATGTTTATAGAATAAAATGTACCAAACTTCTTTGGAAAGTAAACATATTCATGTATGTTAACAAAACGCTATATAATCAAATCAGATATTATTAAAAAAAACAATCATTAAAAAAAATTTGATATATATTTTGAGCCTCAACAATTATTTAACTAATATATATACAATGATTTAGTTTCAATAGGAACATTTGCCGAGCCCAATGTCGCGGCACATATATGGGAATTTCCACATGTGGTATCTTTCAGAATAAAGAACGTTTATAGACCTTTTTGCGCTGGTGTTATTTTAAGTCCGTGGCACATTCTTACGGTAGCCAAATGCGTCGACGGGAAACTAATCAATCAGGATTCTATCGGAGTTCATCCAGGAAATGCTAATTCATTGGATACCTCCACACCGATGCATACAATTAGTCGTGTGGTCATTCATCCATCTTACACAGGAACATTAAGCATGCGATCGATATACGAGCACAATATTGCTGTTGTCATTGTACGTTAAAAAAAAAAAAAAACTACTAATTTAATGATTTTTAAATATACTTGCAACAGTTATTTATTAATAAGGTCTTGTTAATAATTTTGGATTTAATTATATAAGTTTTGCTATAGTTTTTCTTTTATTGTGTTCTTTAATTCTCGGTAAGCATACAGTTATAAAAGAATTTAAATATTAATTTTTAATTTAATATTACGTTAGTAATTAAGAATGTAGAATAATATTATAAAACGAAAATAATTTTATCTATTATAGTCAAAAATTAAAAAAAAAAAACAAAAAAAAAAAAAACATCAGAATTCGCGATACTGCATACAAATAATAAGTCGTTAAATTTTATCGCAATATATTTATATTTATTAAACTAACGTTAAAAAAATTTTATTTTCCAGTTGAACGAGGCTATTTTATTAAATACATACCAAAATAGGATAGCACTTCCACGAAATGAGCCACCAAACCTTGTTACTGGAGTTACCAGTGGTTGGGGTCTAAATAGTTATTCACTCGAACAAAATCCAGGAGAATTCGCAAAAAGTGATGTGACTATACTCAATAGTTTCCATTGCACACAAATGCTTCCATTCCTCGTAAATAATGGACAGATATGCGCAATAAAAACTAATGGAGTTAGCCCGGTAAGTTTAATAATTTTATCATTAATATAATTTTAGTATAACTAAAATAGTATGGTTTATAAAGTATGATAAATGAATTATTTAAAAATTACATTGTAGTATTTAATTTAGTATTTAATAATATTATCATAAATATTTGTGTTCTCGTAATTATCTTTCGTGAAAAAAGTTACACTAATGAATCACGCCTACTCCTAAAGCTTGGAAGTTTAATGAATTTGGAATGTATAGTTTAGATGTTTTCATATTTTTATAAACAGTATTTAAATGAATTTCTTAATAAATTTTTATAGACTGACGTAGGAGGACCACTAGTTTACGATCAAAGAGTTGTTGGTTTATTATCCTATGTACGTACGTCGCCGAGATCAGATCCTGGGATATATACAAGTGTACATCATTATCTGGATTTCATTAAATCCGTGATAGCTCCTTAAGCTTCTATGCTATTATTTATTATTTTATAAATTAACTTAAGAAAAATTGTTACAATAAATGATTATGTATAAAAATGTTATATATTAATTCTTATTACTAATGAACATCATTTACAATTCATAATGAGCGACCATTTAAGAAATGATATTTTCCCTATTATTAATTCAATAATAATTATTAATTCAATAAAACAAAGAAATATATGGAAGTCAAAAACATTTACTATTATAAAAAAAAAAACAAAAACAAACAAAAAAACAATGAATATATTTAATGACTGAATTATCATATTATCTAAAAAATTGTAAAAATAAATTTTCAATAAATACTTTTGAATATTTAACGTGTCCGTGTCTTACGAATTATTATTACTATGTCACTTTGTCACTTGAGAATGTATATTGAATGTTTCAATTATACAATAAAGTACAAATAGTCAGAATTTTTGTATACATGATACACGTATCCATGCAATAATACTAATTTCGAATATATCTAGCTTTTTTTTTTTATTTTATTGAAATCAAAAAATGTTGGAATAAAAAAAAATATTTCCTTAAAACGAAAATTATTTAGATTCTAATGAATATTAATTAGATCATATTTTATATTATTTTATTCATAAAGTATTGTTTATCATACGATAATAGATCGCTCAACATAACGATTAATAATTTATAAATTTTTTGTACCTTTGTCATAGAAAAAAGGGTATTTATGTGATTATTTTAATGAAAAACGACCAATGTTGAATTCGAACAATGTCGAAATGTTTCGTTTAACAAGTAGGTCATCTTTTTTAAATAGATTAAATTCAAGCATTAAATTTATTTTATAATGTAAAATTTCGTAAGATTACTTTAAAAGATGACTTTAAATAATTAAAAAGGTTATCCTAAAGTTCGGTTAATTCTTAAATGACTTGTATACAAGTTGTAACATTTTGAAGAATATTATTGGAATATGCGGAATATGTGGAATATTCTAGGAGCACTGTTTTAATTTAACATCTATATAAATAAAAGACACATAGCGAAGTCATAAGATCAATCAAATATATTTTTAATTAGTGTTTTTAAGATTTGATCTAAATGATACATCCAAATGTAAAACCACTCAAGTCTTTCCAATAGTTTTTAATTTTTATTTGTAACTAATTGATAGAAAAGAATTCAATAGATGGCATTACAATTGAAAACTGTACAGATTATTGTTTTATAAATATTTGAACAGAGCGCTTAATTATAGAATTTGGCTTATTGTGTGTTGAAATTTATCAATTAGAATTGTTTTAATATCTTAAGGTATATCATTCATGTTATTAAGATATTGATTTTTTTTTTATTCTGCTTACGCTGAAATAGGAAATTATAATTTCAAAAAAATTCAAGCACGTTAATTATATAATATTTAATTTAATGTTTATCGATTCTCATAAAAAATATGAAAGACATAATTATTTTAATTACTAGATGTTTTGTAAATATAAGTAAAAAATCAAATTTTCATTAAAGATTTGTTGACAATGCAGTGTAACGAGTTAATTGATACACCTTAAAGTGTAATATTGTATTCACAACTGAGGTAAAGAATTTTATTTAATATTATATCTAAAATAAAATGAAACGTAGATGGAAATTAAATTTCTCTATAGACAATAAATAATTTTTAAGTAAATATAGTTACATAAGGAATCTAATTCAAATATATTAATTTCGTAAAAGTTTAATCTCTTAAGTTATATTACATTTATTAATTATGATATTAAGAATATTTTTCTTTACAATGCTCCATTTTATATGAACTACATAATTATTCATGATTTTTTATATTCACTGGACATACTCTCTTCGATTTTTAACAATACTTATACATTAAAATATTAAACAACTTATCATAATAATACATTATTATTATTATTATTATTATTATTACTATTATTATTATTGTTGTTGTTATTGTTGTTGTTGTTGTTGTGAATTTATTATGAAATATTATTAACTAAATAATAATGATATTCATATCGATTTAATCTTTCAATTTCTGTTATACAGTTTCATAAGAAACGTAATTAAGTAGGGATTCCAATAATCATTTTTAAATGAAGTGAGCCCTGTGTTACTTAAAATGTAAACTACATATTTTTTTATTGAATTATATGCATTTTTTAAATAAATAAATATATATATATATATATATATTCTTGTATTTCATGTTGTATTAGATATTATAGAAACAGTTGTTTGCATTTGAAAATTCCTGAAAATAATATTTCATGGAAATTAAGAATATTTAACTAAAAAATTATGACAATTAACCTAAATAATATTATTTCGGTTGAAATAAAAATCTATTAGATTATTAAAGATAAATTATATGAATTATAGCGTTGTAATGGAAATGAATTATTAAACGAGTTATTATCTAACTTAATTAATTAAAAATATATCGTATTACACATAACAATTTTTTACTCCTTGTTTTTACTCTCACGTGTAAAAACTATTTAGGAAGTTTCCATATGTTAAAAAACTGAATCCAATTTGATTTATTAATAATATTTATTAATAATTTATGTTACAAATATAAGGATTATAATATTTCATTATTAATCGCAACAACGAATAATTTTATGTTGTTCAATAAATAAGAATTAAGTAAAACTTTTTAATAATAATATCTACGAATATAAACGAATAATTAATAATAAAAAACAGATGGAAAGATATAGTAAATATGAAATTATTATAGTAAATTTTATTTTAGATATGAACTTTTTCCATATTTAATTTAATATTAAGTATTTTAGTATTTAACAGGTAGATATTAATTTATATTTTATTTAATTGAATATCAAAAAAGTTAAATTATTCGAACTATTATATTAAATAAAAATGATAGAATATTATATTTCTTTTTTACTTTAGCTTTATTCTTTTATTAGTATGTGCCATGAAGTAAAATATATTTTTTTATGAAGGATATATCATTAAAACTATTCTAGTAATAATTTAAAATTAATGACAAATTAAATGAAGACTTAAATCATGAATTTTAAAAAATCGCGAAAAATGTATGAATAATATTTAAAAATATATATATATATATGTATATAATTATTATTAAAGTAAAAATATGTAAATAATTTCAAATAATAGCACTAATATTTTTAATAGTATATATTTAAGTGCGATTCAATAACAAAAAATATTAAGAATGTAGTATGAATGGTAATGTAGAAAAGTATGAAATAGTATAGCGTATAATATAGTTGAATATAAATTCAAATTAAACGATTATTTTAAAATATATTTTAGATTTGATGTTTGAAAGGTAATAGTAATTGCAAATGAGCTAGAAATATAAAGGCAATTAAAATAAAAGAAAAATAGTAAAAGAATTCTGTAAATAGAAATTAAGATATTATAACATTAAAATACATCAAAAGCGTTGATTAATTAAGAAATAAATCGGCATCTTAATATTGTGTAAGAGTAAAAAGGAAGCACATGGTAAGATCACTAAATTATACGTAGTTGATATGGATTTGATATGAAACGAAGTACATTAGCTTCTCGTTATCCTGATGGTTTTCTATTAGCGTATAATGAAAAAAGTTACTCAAATTTAAACTAATTATTTAACTACATAAACTCAATGAAATTATATTAAATGAACTAATTAAAAAATAAAATAATAATCTCATGATTTTTTACTATTTAATATTTATTTGTTAATATTACTTAGTATTTGTCTTTATTATTAATTAAAGTTAATAATTCCAATCTTACTTAGATATCAAAAGTAATAAGTAACAAATAGTATTAGCCGACTTTTTTTTGCAAATTTACGTACGTTTATATGGGACCCATAGAAATACGTGTAATGAAAAGAGCAAATGTATGAAGACAATAATCGAGTGAAACGTTACTTAATTCCCAAAACTGTTACGATGCGTTACTCATGTATTCCTGTTGCATTCACAATCAAGTTGGCAGTAATTAGCTAGTATAAAATTTTGTCAATTTACAACAAAATGAAAAATCAATGAATGCGAGAAAGCGTATGTGATAGCAGTAAGCCATCTAAAACATATTTTTAATCATGTATTGTGCATTGCGTGACATGTATAGCGTATTCTGAAAATGTTCAAGTTGAATAAAATAGTCAATACTCAAAAGTAGTCAATATATCAGATATTCTCATAAGATGCTCAAAAGATCGGAAAATTGCAAATTAAGTATAATCGCTGTCGAAATGTATATTTTTTTCTTAAATTGTATTATTATAATTATAATCATATTTTATTACGTAAACTCCAACTAAATTGTAATATAAGCTCTCTCAATTTTATAAACGAAGCTGCATTTTGGATTCTATGCTTCTTTGTAAAAGACAAATTTTTGAAGGAATTATAATTAATAGATATACCTAAGGCTATTGAATAATAAGTATAAAAACAGGTTTTGAAGGAAAGGATTAATAATTTTAAGTAAAATATACACCGTGGGACATAACCTCATGTGGCAAGTCATTCGAGACCTTCAGTGAATTATTCGTAATAGAATATTTGTAGTAGACGCGATACTTTTTTCAATTTTCAATATTTTAAAATTAATATTTATTACATTATAAAGTCATATACCGAATGAATAATAATTAATATTTAATTAGCTAAAAGCTTAAATAAATTAAATTTTTTTTTTTTATTCTAATCACTATTAGATGTTTACTTATTACATGTTGATGGAGATATTAAAAATATGGACTATTAAATATTCCCATTTGTGGTCATTTATTCGTGTCAGTGATTTTAATCATATAAGAGAATATATATCTAATATATATCATACTTTCACCAATTCATATATATATTTTTCTAATTTCATTTTCCACTTTTTTTTTTATCGAATCTTTATAATTTCCTAAAACTTTGATAGACAAATATTATACGAAACAATTTCTTTCATTTCGTGAAAAAGAAATTTTTCTTGATCGCTTTATATAAAATTAATTGAAAAATTTTCTATACAAAATATGATAAAAAAATATGATAATATTTTTTTTTACTTTAAACGTATGCTCTATGTGTATATAAATACATGTA